TGTGACCACTTATCCTCGCTGTTCACTTTAAGTCTATTAGATACTAACTTAGTGTGACTTTGTAAATGGTCCAAGTCGGACCGAAACGTCGTCGTAAACTCCTTTCTTCTATGTGCGGGTTATTTGTGTATTATTTATTTCTTTGTTACTGGCTGTGGCATTTCATATATATTTATTACTTCATCCATATTATACACTCTTTTTTTTGTCTGTCTTAATTTTGTCCTTTATCATCAATGACTTTTTCAAGGTAACTGATAAGGTTAATTTCCTTCAGTCTCTCCTCAGAAATCAGTTCTCTCTGGAGTTATTCTTATGTTCCTGGTGGCTTTACGAGTTTGTTTTCTTACTTGTTTGGTATAAGGGATCAATGCTGTTGATTCACATCCTTTTATTATCATGAGCATTATTCCTCAGTAATTTCATGTCATGATGAAATCCCTTATATTACCAAAAATTCTCATACTTTCGGAATACTGTGAATTATGAACTGTATCTTAAAAAATAAAACACTGCAGAATGTATTTTGAAAATTAAGTAAGTGTTTTATATGAATATTTACTATTCAAAAAAAGTCTACTTACGATCAAAAAGTTAGAACAGATAATTTTTACCTCTTATTTAGAGCTGGCACGAGTGGGCTGTCCTTTGGCCCGATCATTGCAAACATTATCTTCAGAAACTCTTCTCTGGACTCGTAAAAATAACACTGACCTGAAAAATATCTACTATGTAAACATAGTTTCTAAAGCTGAAACCTTACACATGCAAACGAACATACAGACACACACCCTCATAAGTGTGGTGAGAGATGCAATTTTATAAGTGATCCTAAAAGTGATATTGGTGACGTAAGACAGAGACGGCAGGCCTAGTGTGGTATAGGCGGTCTTGCCACATGTGTCTCCCAAGAATGATAAAGCGAAAGCATTGTATAACCAGTGAATAACGCACAGTAAATAGGAATTAATTATATAAATGAAGAAACTGGCTTGGAGGTACTACGCCAGGACATCACAAAGAGCTAAATAATCTAGAGGCTGTGTCGCAAGTATTCACCTATGCTTGGTTTTGGGGAGTCAGGTGTGAGTTCCAGGAATAGGATAATAAGTACTCAATAATGAACAGTAATTGGTAATTTAAAACAGAAACCGGGGCGGCAGATAGGTGTCAATTAGGACACTTATCTGGAAGAAGAATAAGCATAGAAGGTACAAAATAGTGGAAGGTTGCTGGGTCAGGTCAGGTCAGAGAAACACAGCAGCAACACGTGTAACACGTGAACCGTGCATACACACTCACACTCACACACCATAACATACCCAAACAAACACTCCCACAACCCCACCCACTACTTTTCACACACTCACATAAACCCACACAAATATTCCGACACACACTCTTCCTCACTCTCCTCTCTCTCTCTCTCTCTCTCTCTCTCTCTCTCTCTCTCTCTCCTCTCTCTCTTCTCTCTCCCCTCTCTCTCTCTCTCTCCTCTCTCTCTCTCTCCCCCCTTCTCTTTCTCCCTGTCTCTCTCTCCCTCACTCTCCCCTCTCTCCCTCCCTGTTCCTCTCTCTCTCTCTTTCCCCGTTTTTCCCAACCCCTCCTTTTTTTTACACAGGGTTTGACAAGGTTAGGTTAAGGATCCCTAGCTTTATTGACAAGCTATTTACAGGTTAAGGATTCCTAACTTTATTGTCAAGCTAAGAGCTGTTACCTGCATTTGAAAGCATTTTTATTGTCATGAGACATACAAGTAGGGAACAGGATGAAGTTAGAGCCATCTGTGGGCCAGCATTTTCATCTGATCAACTGACTTTATCTCGTTGACATCATAATGCTGCACGAACGTGTTTCAGACTCGAGTCATCCTGGGGATTAATATGATGAGATGGAGTGATGTTCTGGAGAAATGTACAGCCAGAGTGAAGTTGCTGCTTTCTGCCAGTCTTGTGGTATAGAAGCTTGCTTCACGCTCGCCTCGAAGTGGATCCAAGAGTGGTACTTTGACAATATTGGCCTTGTACATAACAGTAAGGCCACCCACATCCCTCCTGTGTTGAAGGCTCTGCTGAAGTGACAGATCTATCTAGGATTGGTCAAGGCGAGAGATGAGACGTCTTGCTCTGTTCTCTACTCTGTTAAGCAGTCGCAGATGAGAGGGGGGCAGGCAAACCAAGAAAGTGGAGCATACTCAAGGTGTGAGTGTACTTGTGCCTTGTACAGAATCTTGCAACCCCTTACTGTCAAGCAGATGCGAGATACGGCGAAGTGCTGTAAGCTTCCTGGCTGCTTTGTTTGCAAAATTTACAAAGTGGTTCTTCGTGGTCAGTTTGGAGTCAAATTTCACCCCAAGGATAACTTCTTCCCCAGGTGCCAACACCCTCCCATTCATCCTTACTACTGCCTCGGCATTACCATCATGGTGCCTAGAGACCATGATCATTTGTGTTTTCTCAGGTGCAAATGTTACTTGCCATCTATTTTCCCAAGCTGATATAGCTCTTAGCTAGCTTAGAGCAGCTGGCATTTCTTCTCATGGATAAGAGAGTGTCACTGTACGTTGTCTGCATATGCATGCATGCGATTCTGGAATGAGATGAAGAAGGTCATTGAAGTAGACATTCCATAACAAAGGTCCCAGCACACTTCCTTGTGGAACACTTGCCCCAGTAGGATGTCTTGCTGATTCCGTTCCATTGAGAACTACCCTTAGAGTTCTGCCATGAAGGTAGTCACTTAGGAGACATAGCGTAGAGCCTGCAATTCCCAGAGCTTGCAGTTTTCCTAAGAGGCCCTGGCTCCACACCCGGTCGAAAGCACCAGCAATGTCCAGTGCTACCACACAGCTGACTTTGGATTCATAAAGTGACTGGTGCACTTAGTGGAGAGGTTTAACAACAGATCAGCAGTAGAATACCCTTTCCTGAAGCAATATTGACGGTCACAAAGTAGTGAGTGGTAGTCAAAAAACTCTGTCATTTGTCTTGAGATTATTGTCTCAAGGATCTTGCCAGTGATTGACAGGAGTGACACTGGTCTGTAGTTGCTGATTTCTGCTCTGCTCTTCTTTTTGTGAACAGGACCTACATTTTCCTCTTTCCTCAGAGAAGGCCATACACACTGTACTAGGCAGAGCTGAAAGGTGCGAATTAGAGGTGCTGCTAGTGGTCTGCACATCTTCTCAGCAATCTTGGGCTCAACTTGTCTGGGCCCACAGCCTTTTCTTGGTCAAGCGATTTAAGAAAGAAATGCATCTTTAAGAAAGAAATGCGCCTTATTGTCACCACTGACAGTTTTGACACAGTTCTTGCAGCTATCCAAGGAGGGTCCCTTGCTGGATCAGGAACTTGCATTTTGGTTGCAAAGTGTTCAGCAAAGAGGTCCGTTTTCTCTTGACTACTAGTAGAGGTGGTCCCATCCTGTCGATTTAGAGTGGAATGAGTTCATCAGGCAAATAACCTTGCCCGTCTTTGACCAGCGACCACTAGGCTTTGGAACCTACTCTACCTGATGCTAGCTTTCTTTTTGTGTCCACCTCCCATTTAGTGATGGCCCACCTTTGAACGTCACCCATATGCCTACAGGCTTGCCTGTGCAAGTTCCTGTTATAGGTGGTAGGATGTCTCTTATACCTTCGCCATGCCTTGTATTTAGCAGTAGCAGCCTCTCTACAACAAAAGCCAAACCAAGGCTGATCTGTGGCTTCGTCACATATTGCCGGTGAGGGATGTGTTCTTGTTGTAGATTAAGGATGTGTCCAGTGAAGGCTTTCGCTTGGTTGTCAACATCCCCTTGGAGAAGAGCATTCCAATTGGTGGTGGTGAGATCAGAGCAAACGGCTGGCCAATTGCCTCTTTACCTTAGCCAGGTTGTGCGTGTGGACTCCTCACCTCGTTCTGTTGGTATCTTAAGTGTCGTAAAAATAGCCTTGTGGTCAGATGATCCAACGTAGCCGAGGGGTTGACAAGTGACTATACCTTCTGCCAGATCACTTATGTCAAATACTGCAAGAAGGTCATCAGAGTCCCTCTATATAAGGTCTTGGTTGAGGTCACCAACAATTATATGTTGACAGTTGTGTTGTAGCAGAAGGGAGTCCACATTTTCCATTAGGAAGTTGATGGGGGTCTGCATGTTGCCACTGAGGTCTGTACATTGCACATGCTAGTACAGAGGTACTAGTGTTTATGCATAGCTTGAAGAACATCATTTCAAGATAAGTAGGGATGGCAACATCAATGTTCTGGGCATGTACACTTTTAGAGAACCACACAGCAACACCTCCTCCTTGCCCTTGCCTGTCTCTTCTCATCCATGAGGTGTAGCCAGCAATTCTTGCAAAATTTTAGGGAGTCCTGTCGTCCAAACATGTTTCAACAACAGCTATCATGTCGGGACGTCGAGTGTTCACAAAACTGTGTGTGAGCTCTCCAACATTAGTAATGAAACCACTAATGTTGGCCGACAGGATGCTGATAGACCTTCTCTCCCTCTCTTTCTCTTCCCTTCTCTTTCCCTATCCCCTTCTCTCTCCCTCCCTGCATTCCCCTCTCTCTCCCTCCCTCCCTTTATTCCCCCCTCCCCCTCCCCATCTCTCATACATCGCCATTCTCTTTCCCTCCCTCCCTCCCTCCCTCTCTCCCTCCCCCCCTCTCTCTGTCTCTCTTCTCTGTCTCTCTGTCTCTCTGTCTCTCTCTCTGTCTCTCTCTCTGTCCTCTCTGTCTCTCTCTCTTCTGCTCTCTCTCCTTCTCTCTCCTCTCTCTCTCTCTCTCTCTCCTCTCTCTCTCTCTCTCTCTCCTCTCTCTCTCTCTCTTCTCTCTCTCTCTCTCTCTCTCTCTCTCTCTCCCCTCCTTCCCTTCGCCCCCACACACACATACACACATGGAGCAAGGACAGAGAGAACACAGTAGCGATCAGTGAAGAGGCAGAGCCAGGAGCTATGACTCGACTCCTGCAACGACAAATAGGTGTGCACAAATAGGTGAGTACACACACACACACAAAAAAACAAAAAAACACGCACACACACACACACACACACACACACACACATACAAATACACAAACACGCAGAGGAGAGGTTTGTTCCCAATGGCAACGACAATAATGGGAAGACCAGAACGAGCCACTGGTTTGCCCAAAGGTGTAGGGATTCGAAAACTAAGCACACCAAAGAATGGAAAAAGTACAGAAGACAGAGGACCCAGGAAAATAAAGAGATTAGTCGAAGAGCCAGAAACGAGTATGTACAGATAAGGAGGGAGGCTCAGCGACAGTACAAAAACAACATGGCATCGAAAGCCATGTCTGACCTGAAGCTGTTGTATAGCCACATCAAGAGGAAGACAACAATCAAGGACCAGGTCATCAGACTGAGGAAAAAAGATGGGGAGCTCACAAGAAACGACCAAGAAGAATGTGAGGAGCTGAATTTGAGATTTAAAGAAGTATTTACAGTGGAGACAGAAAGGACTCCGGGAAGTCTGACTAGGGATGTACGCCAGCAAGGGTTATACCAACATGTGTTGAATGAAATACACACAGCAGACAAGGAGATGAAGAAGCTGCTAAGTGAACCTGATATTTCAAAGGCAGTGGGACCAGACATCTCTCCATGGGTCCTTAGAGAGGGAGCAGAGATGCTGTGTGTGCCACTAACAACAATTTTCAACACATTCCTTGAAACTGAACAACTACCTAAACTGTGGAAA